TATTTTTCTCTCCTGAGAGTAACCCCTAAGCCTTCTTGGGCTCTTAAGATCATTACCCCAAAACGGTCTGACTGGTTTTGTAATAATGTAATCCAGTTCCATTCCAGTCACCTTAATTCTGCCCTTGATCTTCACCAGCAATGGACCGCGTTTCGCCAAAGCACAAAGAAGGTCTTTAGGGATCTCTTTACGGTAGATCCTCTCCTCCCCCCCCCCATAGAAAGAAGCACGAAATATTCACGCTTCTTTAATGTTGGATCCTGTTTATTTAATAGCCCCAATGAAGCCCTAAAAAGAAGATCTATTCAGAAATGCTTCGATTTTAATGGGAGTTTAAATGCAAATATTCCCTGAAGCTAAGCTTGACTCCTGCTTAACATCTGAATCTATCTGTTGGGTCAACCCAAAGTTTATTATCTATATCTATATCATCTATATCTATATATTTTCTATCTAATCTCTCTCTCTAAACTTTCTCTAATCTTTCTATATCTATCTATCCATATCTATCTATCTATCTATCTATCTATCTGTTATCTATCTATCTAAACTCTCTCTAAACTATATATCATCTCTCTATCTCTCTATCTATATATATATATTATCTATCATCTATCTAATCTCTCTATATCATCTATCTCTATCTATCTATCTATCTATCTATCTATCTGTCTGTCTATGTTATCTATCTAATCTCTAATCTCTCTATATATCTCTCTATCATCTGTCTGTCTATCTATCTATCTATCTTTCTACCCATCTGTTATCTATCTATCTAATCTCTAAACTCTCTCTAATCTCTCTATATATCATCTCTTTATCTCTCTATCTCTATATATAACTATTATCTATCATCTATCTAATCTCTCTATCTATCTATCTATCTATCTGTCTATCTATCTATCTCTCTAAACTCTCTAATCTCTCTAAACTCTCTAAACTCTCTCTCTCTCTCTCTCTCTCATCATTTTATTCTTTGTATTTCTTAACTTCCCATCCCTTCTTGACTTCTGCAAATGCTTTTCAACCAGCCAGGCCCCTGGAACCGGTCTGAGATTTCCTAGTGGTGTCCTCTCCCGAATCCTTATCCCAAACCCTTGCCTATATATATAAAGAGACCATTCAAGGTGATCTGGATGCTTCTTCTCTATGACTTTGCAAGCCTTAATTTTCTCCTGGGGGGGGGGGAACAAAAAAACCCAAAACCCAACCCTGAGCTTTGTCTATGGCTCTGGTGAGGGGGGGGGATAGGCAGCTGTTTAGAGACGCAGGCTGTGGCTGCCACCGATGGAGGGTACCAGCCCTGCAGTTGGTTTGAAGGATGATGTAATTCCGACGTTAGCTGCTGTGTCTCATGAAGCAGGGATCACATTTCAGCAAGCATTGTCTCATCCCAGAGGCAGAAAGATGGGCTGATCCCTTTCTGAAATCCTAGCTTTCCCCCCCCACTCCCTCAAAGTCAAGTGCTAACATCTCCAGGTCTCTGATTTTGCATTGATAGTTTCCCTTTTTACTGATTTATTTATTCTTCTTGGCTCCCGTTGATCACAATTGGGGGCAACTTTTGAATGGTCTATGCCATTCAAAGAGTCCCAAAAGTCTTTTTTTTCCCCAGACTTGCAAATGACCTTTTGATTAAAAGAAGAGAAAGAAAAGGAGGATAGACAGAATGAAATGGTTTTTTTGTGTGTGTGTATGTGTGTGTGTGTAAAATAATAGAAATGTGTGTTTTTTTAAAGTCTGGTTCTAGACCTACTGTCGGTGCTGTTTGTTCCCAGGAAACTGCATAAAAACACGGCTGCAAAATAAAAGTTACTTACCTAAAAGAAATTACCTTTTAAAAAATCGTATTGAATTGAACGGAAATTACTTCTGAGTACTCTGAGTAGGTATAAAATTGTGCTGTTTTAATTTTTATTTTTTAAGGGCTGCTAAACGATTTTAAGGGAAAGATTTTTCTTAAAACTCCATTTTCCCCAAAGAATCTGAAGATTTTTAAAAAATGGTGCCCTATAAACAGCTCACAGAAACAATTGCTCAGATGCAATATATATAATATTGTCTAACCCTTCTGGATGGAAACATTCAAAAGATTTAATTTTAAAAAAAATTAAGAAAAGAGATTTACTTTTAAAGGAAAAAATGGAGTTATTTTCTTCCAGCTTTCTATCGCCTTTATTAACTTGCTTCTGATTGGAACCGTACCTGGGATGTGTCAGCAGTTTCATGCATCACTTTAAAATATTTCGTTTATAGTAAAAATATTATTATACTGTATCAGGAAAAAGAAAGAAAAAGAAAGAGAGAGGTAGAAAGAAGGATGGAAAGAAGCAGAAGGAAAGAAAAAAGGGAAGGAAGGAAGGAAGCAAAGAAGAAGGGAGGGAGGGAGAGAAAGAGGGAAAGGGAAAGAAGGGAAGAAAGAAAGAAATAGATAAATTGATTGATTCCTGGGAATTTATCTCACCAATAAACTCAGCCAATTGATCAGATTACTTCAATC